GCTTTGGTGAAGGTCAGGCGGTTGGCTTTATAGATCGCTGCGCTTGTCTTCACTGTCCTCCTCCAAGTCGGTCCGTCTCGGGAAAGGTCTTTCCAGTTGGCCGGATTGATCTACAGACGCTTCAGGGAAGTCTTCAGAGTGTCTTTGTATCGTTGGATTTAGCCTCCTTTTCGACGGGAACCCGTGGCGAGATCTCCGTAGAAGAGTCGTTTGGGTAGCCGCTCATCGTCTATCCGCACGAGGTGGCCGCTAAAACGCAGTGACAGCTGTCTCAGCATGACGTAGATGCTGAGAATTCCCGTCTGCTCCAGTATATCCGTGTCCGGGATCCGGTCCTGCCATCTCAGCTTCAGCATCCGTCGAAGACACTGACGTGGAAATGATCGAGTCTCCGCGCCTGCCTCTTGTACACCGTCCAGGTCTCCGCTCCATACAGCAGCGTCGGCAGGATGACCACCTTGCACATATTCAGTTTGGTGTTGAGGCTGATACCGTGGCGATTCCAGACTGGGCTTTGCAGATGGCTGAAGGCTCGGCTGAATTCGGAGATCCGGTGGGCCACTCCATCGTCGATTTTGATGGTGCGGGAGAAAGTGCTGCCCAGATGCGTGAAGTTGTCTACCACTTGCAGCTGGACGTCGTTTATGTTTATTTGAGGTGCGACGTAGGCATCATCGACTGTCGGTTGATGCATAACAACCGTTTTCTCTGTTTTGATGACCAGGCCAAAGTTTCGCAGGCGGCGGCGAAGGGGTCCATGCTCTCTTGCTTGTCCCCTTCTGAGGTGGCTCTGAGGGCGCAGTCGGCGGCGAAGAGAAGTCCATGGACGGTAGTTGTGAGTACACGCGACTGGACATGCATCCGCCGGTGGTTGAGGAGTTGGCCGTCCGTCCTGTAGGCGATGCGGATCCCAGGGCGCTCGTCACGGTAGGCGTCCAGCAGCATGGCATAGAACATGAGACTGAAGAGGGTAGGCGCGAGGTTGCAGCCCTGCTTCACCCCGTTGGTCATTGCGAATGCCTCTGAGACAGCTCCATTGTCTGTGATTCGCGCCATCATACTATCGTGGAGCTGACGCACCATCTGGGTGAACTGTTCAAGACAGCCGGATTTCTATATGATTTTCCACAGTCCTTCGCGATTCACCGTGTCGAAGGCTTTCGTCAGATCCAAGAAGGTAAAGTTGCGGTGGGTCCGCATCTCCTGACACTTCTCTTGCCGTTGACGGGCGGCGAAGATCATGTAGGTGGTCCCAAGATGACGGCGGAAGCCGCATTGGCTTTCCGGCAGGGAACTTGTTCCAGATGTAGAGATAAGGGAAACCACTCATGCGAGTACTTGCATCTCCGACTCACGTAAGTACTTCACCTTGCGGCGTCAAGAAGTAACGTGTATTTGGCGCACATTATGTCCCTGCTAATGCAGCCACTTCACCCAATCACGTGACCAGCCAATTCGGATAGGCCGTCGATGCATAGGCTGCGGCTGGAACTACGGTGTATTTTCGGTAACTAACAGGGGCCTTTTTAACAAAACTTTTTTGTCGCTTGATGGTGAGATTATATGAAAAATAGACTGTTTCAGTAGAAAGGGGGGAATGATTAATAGTCTTTTGACTTAATTCTCGTTAGTTGGATGGTGGAAAAGGCGTTCTTCGCCACCAAAGCATTATTACACACACATGAAGTCTAAATAGTCATCCATTTTGTGAAATACAACCCAAGACAGTACTGACGAATCGGTTTTGGCGTCTGGCTTGAGTACACTTTTCCATTACAAGAAAGTTCTCATCAGCACCAAACTTAAGAAACCACACCGTTTGTACAACACTGTACTGTTAAAAAAAGATATGACATAACAATATAGGTCAGGAAGGGTTGATTGCAGGGTTGATTTGAGCCGGCCATTTTCAGGAAACCGACGGTCTACGCAGAAGAAGGCAGCTCTGAGCGAACGCTATTAAACTCACTAGATCGGGAGAACCTAAATTCTCTAGAAAACACGCGTAAAATCGCCTTTGTAAGAGTGGAAACTGAAAAAGTGCTCAAACAACACCAACAACAGTCGCCTACAGGATTTTCTTGTGATCTGGATTGCTGTACGACCCGACATGGCCTGTAGATGACACTCAAGAGTTAGTTTTTCATGAACAATATTTTTAAGATGCAAGTGTAGTCATTCAAAATGACTATCTAACGATTATACAGGATTCTCGCTTTGGGGAAAAAATATTTCTTTCCTAATACTGGGCGTTCAACAATCAGGTGATGAGACAGGCTCGTTGAGTTGTGCCTTGGAGTTCCCTCGACCAGTCATGCATGGAGGGGTGATTTTCAACAAAGCAAGGGGAGACAGGGATGGCAATTTCTGCCTCGTTAACCAGCGTTACCTTCCACTAAACGAATCAACCTTTTAATTTACTAACGTGAGCCGCAAAATATTGCGCCCAAAATCGACGTGAAGTACTTCCATAAATAGCCTTGAAAGAACCTTTAAACCGATGAAAATGGCGCATAGTTTTTTTTCAGAAGAGACGGACAATAGTCGTTTTGGACATCCGTCTACACGACTGCTTAGTCGCGCCGAGTCCCTGGTCGATTTACACTGATTTTCTCCATCCGCCAACTTTTTTCATCTGCCTAATCCTGTCCTTGCCGGAAGCCTCTGCAGCCCACCTTTCAGTAACAGTAACAGTCGAGAGAGAGTGCGACAGTAAACGTCAAGTTCATCCGCTCACGCACTGATCCCCTGCCGCTGTGCCTAATCAACCAGACAGTTGGTGATGCGCGAACCAATGAGAAAACCGTGTTTTCTCCTGTCGTCAGTGCTCTTCATTTGCAAGCTACTGTTCCCTATCCGCCCTCCGGTCTGACCAAAGCGGCTGGTTTTGGCTGGTTTTGCTTTGCTTGCGGAGACCAGGACTCCTGGCCCTCATTTCTACCCCGTCATTCTCTCCCTCTCACCTCCCACCAGCCGCCACAGCGCACCTTCAGAAGCAGCTGCAATTTGATTGGCGGAAGAGCCGGCGGTTGGTTGCTTCTGCTCCTTTGGTTGGACCACAGCGTTTCTTTCTCTCTCTGGTGCTGGTGGAGGCGGAGTCCGGCGTTGTTTGTGTTCGTGGTTTCGTTGGTGGTGGTGGCGGACGAGTGGGGGGGGGGGGGGGAGCAGAGGGCAGGCCTGGATAATGTCCACGGCCACTGTTGGCCGGGGGACTGCGGCCAATTAAACCACGACTCCAGAGAACGGAAGCCCGTACAGGTGCGTGCGTTCATATGTGCGCGAGATGAATCTGGGTTTCTGGTCGCTAGGCCGAAGGAAGATGATGTGGTAGTGACGGTAGTGATGGTGGTGGCGGTGGTGGTGGTTCTGGTGGTGGAGGAGAGAGGGGGGAAGAGAGTGGGACGATGGGGTAGATGCGGGAAGTGACAGACTGAGTAGCTTGGTCTGCGTCGTCTTTCGCAGGGTACAACAGGACGCATGCATTGAGTTGGACGATTGTTCGCGCATCCGCCAACACCGTGAGTCTCTGAATGCTTATACTGTAAAAGTAAAAGAGCCTTCCTCTTGCCATTTCAAAGTTACCCCCTGCGCCACAGGCAGTGAACAGATAAATCAAATCATTTCTTTCTGTACAAATGTAAGCTCGCTCCTTTCGGCCAGTAAAACTAAATGAGAAAATCCCTAGTGTAGAGCCAGTTCAACTTAAACCTTTTAAAGTGTAAGTATTTACTTTCTGTTACCCAGCTACATACATGACAAGCATTTGATAGTATAGACTGAAATGGGAGCTATTGGCACTGTGGAGGATAACACGTAAGAGGGCTTGGGGTGGAGATGGGCTATCAGCAATTTGTCTGTCTCTAAAGTATGGTGCGCTGGTAGCGCCAGTAAAGAAGGAGTATTAATGACAGTCGTCGGTGTCTTTGCCAATACCGCGTCCCGACTCCTGATAAGTCCTCGTTAGACTAATACCTGCGTAGACTCCATACCAGAGCTCTAGGTCGAAACGGGATCGTCCGTGTCCGGATCCTGCGATCCGGAGAGGTCGGTAAATACCACTCCTGTATGACTTTGAGCGCGCGACAGGACACGAGCTGATGACTCAAAGGCAGGATGCTTGATTGAATCCACAGCGACCAACTAGATTCGGGATTAACTATGAAGTCTTCCCGGTCCAGAACCTGGGTTTTGCCAGCTACCGAAGGCAAATAAGTCAGAAATAGCTCCCATGTCTTTGCCAGTATTGTTAGTAGTAGAATGGGCAGGCAAGCATGCCCTTGCTACTAATAAAAAGTACCCAAACTTTTACCTTACTGCGGGTCACATCTTATCAGGAAAATTCCAATTCCCAAGATCCCTGATCGGTCTGCATATCCTGCTCACTGTTAACGTCGTTCATACCGCAAGTACCTAGAAGCCATAATCTGTGTGCATAGGATAAAAGGTGTAGAAAGCTTATGCATCAACGACGGGTCACAGAGAAAGCAATCGGATCAGGCTTGACAAAAACGATCATTTTGCTTCATTTTGGTCGTGACCTCCAAACTGAGACACTTATTTGCATTTCTTGATGTCGTTGTTTTTCAGCCTGACTTTTAGGCTACAAAAGTAAACTAAAATGACTTTTTAGACGTCCGTCTCAGCTGGCTTTGATGAAAGTCTGTAGGCAATCGGCAAAGGCGCCCAGCCTTGATTGTACCACCACAGCCTCGTTTACTGACTTAGCAGTAATTGACATTATTTTCTCAAGGGGTCCTAATATCAGCTGAGTTGTCCTTCTGTCGACTTTGCTGTATGCGACTGTCGTGAGGAATTCTGATACATAGGTGTTATGGCAGATTTCAAATAATTTACTTTGACACAACTGCGGAGTCAGCTTACTGTATCAGATATGGTGGTACCAGACGTTGCAGTAAGTTGGGCGGGTAAACTCGAACTAAATGTGATTAGACTCGCGTCATCCGGTGACGCCTCGTAGCTCAAATGATTAAAGCGTGGGCTGTACCAAAGCCTCCTGTTGCTGTCGTGGGTTCGAATCCCACTGAGGCACCGAGTTTTTCACAGTTGGGCCCAAGGGAAGTCTGATACAGTCATATTTACTTGCCGTTAAAGAGCACATTGCATTCCGGGACAGTATCATTGATAGTCACTCCTGCACTAAATACGGACAGGACGAAAGAAATTATAACCTCAAGCATGACAAACTCGTTGACTAGAACTCATGAGAGCAGGGGGCAAGGCTTCGGTACAACAAGTGTTCTACCCACCTGCATCAGTGCACCTATTCAAGCCAGTCCACAATGAATTAGTAAGTCTGGTGGTCATTTGTTGCGTTCTTAATTGATTATTTAGGAAAACTTGGTTGGGTGGCCAGCCTACTTTGTTAGCGGTGGTAGCTTCTGTACGCTGTGGTAGGTTGCACTCGTAACTTAACCAAAATGCCAAAATTTAGGGTTCTTAGTAGGAGCACCGTAGTTTACGTGGTTAGTGTACTGGTTGTATCAGGGTCTCATACTTTCTTCACGGATTCGAGTCGCGCTGTGTTCGTCGGGTTTCTCTCAACTGAGCCAGTTGAAATGTTACGAAACCTTATTAAGAATGAGTGGAAATGACCTGCATATCCTAGGAAGCCTTTCAAGACGTAACAAGACATCAAACCTTTTTCAGTCGTTTTCTGAACGAGTCAGTCATTCTCAGGATGGCTGCCTTATAAATTATCTTGGGATCTGCGAAACATAAGAAATTTATTACCTCAGATGGCTATTCTAACGGCGTACTTTTCCCGTTTTTAACCGTAAAATAAATAGATATTCAAGTATTACGGAAACTCGCCTAAGCACTTACATTTCAAACTTGTTACAGCTAAAAGAATGTTCCGCTTAGGTGTTTTTTTTCTACGGTGGTGCAACAGACTTCCTCTTAACTTTCTTTTCATAATTCACTTCAAATCCCCCAAAAACTCGTGAATCACAATCGCTAATTCAGTCCTGATGGAGGGACCACGGGCAATTTGTACTTTCATTGACGTTGGGATTGCTATTTTTGGCTTCTTTGCAATCGTCTGCTAAGCTTACCCCAACCAG